GGTATCCCCATGCGTTGCCATTCCTGAGGACTCAGGTGTTATTTCTCTGTACCCAGTAAATTCACACCATATCCCACCCTTCAAACCGAAACACAGCCATGCAATCGACTTTTGTACAAAGTCTCACTCCGTGTGGTCTTGGCATAGAATAGGCCGCCTCTTCCTTTCCCGCAGGTGTTGTAAGAGGCGACTAAGGGAACTTAATCGTCGAGCGATGGGCAGCAGCGCCCCTTTCAAACATCATCAAGGCCTAACTACCGTTGCCAATTGACGTGCCAGGCGTGGCAACTACAGGCAAAACTCCCATTATGGAAGAAGGCTTATGTTCAGCAGTGGACAGTTAACGGCTGAAATGATGATGACGATGATTCTTGTTGGTAATATAACAAAATCTGGTGTAATCGCATGCTTCATATACGTCATCTAGTAGTTTTTTTTATGGGTGAAAATGGTATGGTAACCCCGCCTGCGTTAACGGGATACGCTGGCGGAGCACCAGTGAAGGGTGATAGATGAGAATGAAAACAGACCAGTTAGTCCATCGTGATGAATTCATCAGGAATTAACCATGATTGTTTCCAGGGGGAACCGCGAGGAGGTCGACCTGGTTAGGTATATTGCTCGCAATGGGATTCTTAGTCTCCATTACTAACAGGCCTTCCCTCTCCCCCCCATCATCTAGTAGTTACCGTTATCTAGTAGTTACCGACTTCCAAAATCAACGCGTATAAAGTTGCTGGCAAAAACTAGTGTCTTAATAAAACCCATTGGTGCGGAGGAGATTCCACCCGCCGAGTCGACCAGTAACACGGTTACCACATCTTTTGTATTAAATTCTATGTGATTAATCACGCCATGTGTAGAACGCCATGCCATTGTTATGGGACATTAGTCCCCATTTATTTTATAATTATATGTCGTTCAATACAGCACAGTGAATACATTAGCATGTTACAGTCTATCTGTACATACAGAACTTACTTAATAGAAGGGGAAGGGATTGTTAATAATATGGACTATCAGTCCTATTGCTAGCAATATACGCTATCAGGTCGACCTTCACGTGGTCGCCCTGGAAACCATCGTGCTAAATTCTAGGTGTATTCATCACGATGGGCTAACTGACCTGTATTTCCATTCTCACCTGTCACCCCTCACTGGTGCTCCGCCAGCGTATACAATTAGCGCAGGCCGGGTTACCATTCCATTATCGTCCAATAAAAAAACCTTCCTTAATAAAATATACTAGCAACCGACCCCGACTTCTCATGGGTAGATAGATAAAACAATAAATTAAATTCAGCTCATGTTACTTGTTGTTTATTTAGTTTTTTACAGTCAAAAGAATTTATTTATTTTATACTTTATTCCACCATTAATAAAATACAATTTATTTTAATGAGAATTGTTAAAAAAATGATTAAACAATCTCTACCAGACAACCTTTGGGTTTAGGAGATTAAGAAAAAATAAGTTCATAAGTTCTTTCAACAATATATACATATATATATATATATATATATATATATATATATATATATATATATATATATATATATATATATATATATATATATAAGGGAGGGCAAGAGATGGGCAGATGGGTAGCAGCATCCCTCTTAATACATCTTTAAAACTGCGAATGCCAACTCGTCTGCCAAGCGTGGCATCTACCGGCAAAACCCCTTATGGGGAAGGCTTATGGCCAGCAGTGGACAGTTAACGGCTGAAATAATAATAACAAAAATAATTTGCAAATTAAATAAATATTATGAGAGATGACAATATTAATACATTTTAAGATAAATTAATACAAACATGTGGAATAATATACCTACATAAATCACATACAAATTAAAAGTACCCGTAACCGGCGAGCGTATATGAAAAGATTGATGAGTGTGGAGGAAGCGAAAGAGGTTTGTTTGAATCGAAGCACTTGGCGTTCCATTGTTTCTGTCTACTTTTGTTTTATACTATGTAATGATGATAAACAAATAAAATTACTAACAGGAATACATTACAAACTAATTTATATCAAAGTTTATATAATAAAGTATAAATGTATGTCTCAATTCAACGAAGCCATACGATTTCAATAAATATGAATATTATATTTGAACAAAAGACTCCCTCGACGATTGTGTAACGAAACATATATTACAGATCAAGTAAACGTATAATATATTATCTAGATTAACTGTCAGTACAGTTCTTATGAAATATTAAAATATTGCTGAATAGATATATATATATTTACTTCCTATTTTTTTTTTGATGAGTGAAAATGGTATGGTAACCCCGCCTGCGCTAACGGGATACGCTGGCGGAGCACCAGTGAAGGGTGATAGATGAGAATGAAAACAGGCCAGTTAGCCCATCATGATGAATTCAACAGGAATTAACCACGATAGTTTCCAGGGGGAACCGCGAGGAGGTCGACCTGGTTGGGTATATTGCTAGCAATGGGATTCTCAGTCTCCATTACTAACAATCCCTTTCCCCCATTTACTTCCTATTACTCCCACTTACATCACAAAGGATAAGCAAGCTCAAGTGGCAATAGGCTGGTCACATAGCTATGTGAAGAACCGACAACCGATGGGGAAGAAAGGTTCTTGAGTGGCGACCCTGTACGGGCAAACGGAGTGTAGGACGTCTCCCTCTAGATGGGGAGACGACCTCAAATGTATTGCAAGGAATCAGTGGATGCAGGTGGCTCAGAATCGTTCAGTCCAGCAGTGGACAGATAATGACTGAAATGATGATGATAATGATGATTGCCCCTGTTACCTTATAGCATCTTAATCAATCTATGAAATTTGATATACGCATACTTATATATATAATAGTTGTAAGCTATATATATTTCTTTGTACTTATTGTTATACATGTATCAATATATGCTGTTTGCCTATAAAAAATTGTTACACTCAGTTCTAAGCTCCATAATTGTATATATATTTACATTATTTTGTAGAAACAATTGTTGGTAAACCTAAATAAATAAATAAATATGGAATGGCGAAGGAGGCTGGTATAAATATTGATTAGTAAACATATCCCGGTATCGTGGACAATGTCGTGGGTAAAAGCTAGTACTATGTAAGAGTTTGTGAAGACGATTGATTGTTGCACTTTCATGAAAAATTACTGAACGAATTTGTATGTAATTTGGTACACTGGTAGATTATATTTCTAACTTAACACATAAAATACTGATGTGTTCCTGCAGGTATCGTCTACCCAGAAGGAACTTTAAGCTTAATAATTATCAATTAATTTTAGAAAACATTGTTTTCCTCATATTTTTTCAAAAAATTCTTTTTTTTTTAATATTCAATATATTTATTTATTTATTGATTAGTACAAATATGCGTACATGGCGGACTTAATGCTAAAAACATTCTCTCCCAGTCAACCATAGGGAAGTGTCAGAATACTCGAATGCGGTACTACTAATTATTGATGTACATACATACTAAAATTACATATATAAACGAATAAATATATATGAATAACAAATATACTTACACATATATAGCATATACTATATTATACACGAAATTGAGGATAATATAAAGCACTTACTGCTCGGATAAAGTAAAAAAGAGAGCGTGAATGTTTTTTTTTTTTTAATATATGTCTCCCTCTGGTAATATTTTAACAATATCAACACATACAACTATAATATATATCAGTCAATCGATAACATTTTATTTTATTACTAAAATTAGCAACAGCTAATTTTAGTAATGTAACAACATAGGGGGAAAGGGACTGTTAGTAATGGGGACTGAGAATCCCGTTGCTAGCAATATACCCAACCAGGTCTACCTCCTCGCGGTTCCCCCTGGAAACTATCATGGTTAATTCCTGATGAATTCATCATGATGGGCTAACTGGCCTGTTTTCATTCTCATCTATCACCCTTCACTGGTGCTCCGCCGGCGTATCCCGTTGGCGCAGGCGGGGTTACCGTACCATTTTCACCCATTAAAAAAAACTGTAACAACATAAAACATTTCATATTGCATCCCATCAAACGTGACCATTAACAGAAACAAATAACAATCAAGTGGAAAAACACATAAAAACAATGAAAATCAATGAGCACGCATTATCAATTCACCAAATCGGTGGGTACGCTATCACGTTTTCAATCGCAAGTCATATTTAATGATCGGAAATACAAATAATTTCACGTGACAGCACGTGTTATTCGATAAGTACAAGAACGTCGCAAGCACTTATTGTTATTAAAAAAAAAAAAAAACTAAACGTATTACAAATACTAAATATTTCTTGTGTTACCATTTTATTTTCATCCATTAAAAAAAAAAACTACGGCAGACTATTAACAGCTGATGATGAATGATGTCCACCAATCTCTATCCGTTAAAGATTTTTTTACAAGACCACTTGTAAAACAAGTGTTTTTTACCTATTGTTTTGCGCATGTTTGTGTGTGTGTTTATGTTACTGTAAATGTTAATTTATGACCTAGATGGACCGGGCTTGGTGATGAGGTGCTCAGCGTTTCTGCTTCTGTAGAAACTTTATGCTGAATTGGCATCCTTTTTCATTACCATAACACTGACTGATTCCAACTACTCTTTATTTATAAATGTAAACACTTTTTTCTATATATATTTTTTTTTATATTCAACCGTGAAGCAGTTGTATTTGCATGGCTGTGTTTCGGTTTGAAGGGTGGGATATGGCGTGAATTTACAGGGTACAGAGGAATAACACCTGAGCCCTCAGGATTGGCAACGCATGGGGGGTATCATGGGCGAAACAGTATACTCTGTTATGTCCATGGTACTGCTCATGTCTATAGGCGACGGTTACCACTTTCCATCAGGTGGGCCGTCAGCTTGTTTGCCATTCTAAGTTGTATAAAAAAAATCTTATTACTTGCAATCTAAGTATATGGTAAGTGTTGTGGATTTTGTAAATAAATTTTCAATTTTCATTCATATTTAATTTTGTTACAGGATGCTGTATTCATCACTACCCGTGTGCTTGCTGTTGATCGGCGTGGCCTTCTGCGCGCCAGAACAAATCCAGAGTGAACCGGAGACCCCAACACACGAGGACCCCAGCACGAACAATATAGAATACACTGCATCACTGGAGAAGAGGTCGCCCCATTATGACTTTGGACTTGGAAAGCGAGCCTACAGTTACGTGTCAGAGTACAAACGACTTCCAGTCTACAACTTTGGATTAGGGAAAAGGTATTAATATTATTATCTAGCTATTTCACGTGGCTTTACCTTATATATATATATATATATATATATATATATATATATATATATATATATATATATATATATATATTCTATAAGACAGACAATCCCTTTCCCCCCAATATGAAAGGTTGTTTGTAAGAGATTGCCCTAGCAAGAAGACCGCCTTCTGTACCTTTATGTGTATATTTCAATCTGTATTTATGTTACTGTATTTCACTTGAATTATTCACTTGTCATTGTATATTTTTGTTTATGGTGCAATAAAAAATTTAATAAATAAAAGAAAAATATTAAAAAAGAAATAAAAACACAAACAAAATAAATTATCTATTTTCAAATATGTTAAAAGTCTGTTATGCAATTTTTTTTGGATAACAGACTTAAAATATTCGTTATTGGACCAGTATTTATATATTGGTAATATATATTGCTATATATATTGCTCACCCCTAGTACTGACTTTTATTTCCGATGTTTAGTTAACGACGATAAGTCTCATTAATGTATTTAAAATTTGTATTAACAATATGAAATTCTAAAATTAAAAATTTACTAAGAAGATCTTAATTGTAATACATTCAGACACACGGCAGCGTGTCCAGCCAAGTTCAAAAGTAAAGGAACCATTTCGGGCTACTTTTGCTCCGCTCATAACTGGAAACTTATTTAATTATACATGGGATTTAGCACAATTTATATTTACATGATTCTATTACTTATCGTCACTATCAAACATCACCAAAATCCAAAACTGCAGTTGCCAATTCACCTGCCAAGCATGGCAACCAATGGAAAAAATCCTCCTTATGGGCTTATATTCAGCATTAAAAAATAAATGTCTAATACGACAACAATAACTTCTTATAATAAATGCTAAAATTTATTAGAATCTTTTTACTCTTTTACGCAAAAAGTACTTACAAATTTTAAATTAAATTTGATAAACGGATCAGTTATATTCTAACTTAGCATATAGGATGCTTTATATTCTGATTAACGCAGTCAAAACCGCGGGATACGACTAGTGATTTATAAATAAATAAGTAGCCAATTCTTTACTATATTCGTGTATGTAAATAAATTATTTATTGATTTACATATTAATCTTTCATATGTTCGAACTGCGTACCGAAATTCACTGAAATCTGTTCACTCGATTAAACGAGATTCAGTAACAAACACACAAACATCTTTACAAACTTTGACATCCGTAACAGTCTTCTACGAAAATCAATTCAGTGTCTTGATTACATTGTACATGTACATATAACCCCGTATTTCGAGGTATTCTTACTTCTATAATGTATAAAAGTAATAAATTCATTGATTGACTGTCACCGACTTCCTAGTGGGTGGGTTATTTGCTGAAAGCATGGTTGCAGTCAATTTAGAAATATTAAATTTATACCGGAATAAACACAATTACGTTACGCCTGATGTTGCTGTTAATGACGTAGTAATTTCTTTTTTAATGGGTGAAAATTAAGTATTGTTATCCTGATTACACAATTACTGTTCGCGGAGTTCCAGTGAGGGACTATTCTATTTTCCAGTAATGGAACAATTTCATTAAAATCAATTTTATTTATTTATTTATTAAATGCACAAGACAGCTTTACAACTAGACATGTGGATATAAATATGGATATCAATCCGATATCGCCCATATCGTTAGAATATATATTTTCGGGGGGGTTGGGATTGTTAGTAATGGGGACTAGTAGTCCCATTGCTAGCAATATACCCTGCCAGTTCGACCTCCCCGTGGTCCCCCTGGAAACCACCGTGTTGAATATCAAGCGTATTTATCACGATGGGCTAACTGACCTGCATTTTCATTCTCACCTATCATCCATCACTGATGCTTCGCCAGCGTATACCGTTAGCGCAGGCGGGGTTATCATTCCATTATCATGCACTAAAAATATATATATATATATTCCAATATGTTAAAATCTGTTATCGAATATTATTTTTTGAATTAAAGACTTTTAACCCATTCGTTATTGGGCCAATATCTAGATATAACTGAAATATAAATATTGCTATATACTCAATCCTATTTACAACAAACTATTTAACAGCATCAATACGAACTATACTCGTATATTGCAAGACCAGACCAAACTTTACGAGTATATTTAACATTAGTACAACATTATTCGCCGTGTGGACTTGGCATCGAATGAGCCACCTCTTCTTTTACCGTGAGTGTCGTAAAAGGCGACTGGAGAGACTTAACGGTCGAGGAATGGGCAGCAACGTCCCTCTTTAAACATCACCAAAGCCTAACTGCGGTTGCTGACCCGCCTGCCATGCGTGACAACTGGCAAAATCTTCCAATAGGAGAAGGCCTATGTCCAGCAGTGGACAGTCAACAGATGATGTGAAGATGATGAAATATTTAAAACTACGATTATTTTAAAACGTATTCTATAATTTTTTAAGTTATTGTTATTCTTAACAGGTCCAGACCTTACTCTTTTGGACTGGGAAAGCGGTCGGTGGACGAAGACCAAATATCCGAATTCAACAATGATGTAGACCAAACTGATCTTGCCGCGTTCTTGGATCAATATGATGATGCACCAGGTGAGTACTGCCCTCTGTTCGTTAATCATTAATTTACCCAATAATAAACTAACATCCCACTGCTGGGCGCAAATGTCTTACTATTATAATAAAAATTGCAACTAGACAACGTCTATACATGACAGACATTTTAGAAAAATTAATATTAATACCAATAGACACGAATAGAGGGAGACTTTGTACAAAAGTCCATTGCTTGGGTACCTCTGTCCCATTCGTGTTTCAACCGTGAAGCAGTTGTGTTTGCATGGCTGTGTTTCGGTTTGAAGGGTGAGATATAGGGCTTGAATGTACAGGGTACAGTGGAATAACACCTGAGTCCTCAGGAATGGCATCGCATGGGGGGTATCATGGGCGAAACAGTATACTCTGTTATGCCCATGGTACTGCTCATGTCTATAGACGAAGGTTACCACTTTCCATCAGGTGGACCGTCAGCTTGTTTGCCATTCTAAGTTGTATAAAAAAAAACCATTTAGTACAAATAAGAAAAAGATGAAGGTATTTTTTCTACCTATTTATTAATTAGTATTCCCAAATATAAGGATACATATTAAAAAAAAATTTCAAACATATGAATTTTGTATAAAGACTACCTGTGGTAAAAAATACATAAATTTTTAGAAGTTTTGTCTGTCTATCTTGCTGTCCGTATGTATGTTTATTACGGTATCCCGCTAAAACTACTTAAATTTATTATGTACTTTGAAATTTAACTGCCGTGCCCAGTCTTCAAGCTGAAACACAGTTATGCAAGCACAGTTTATAAATGATACCGAATCCTTAAGTCTTAGGAGATATTTTGCCTCACTCTGCTTGTATAACGGACTGTGCTCAGAGGAATTGTTCAATATGATGCCTATGGCTAGTTTCTACCATCGTACAGCTCACCATCGACAAGGAGTTCACTCCCATACCTTAGAGCCTAGATAGTCGAGTACGGTGCGGTTTCAGAGATATTCCCTCCTACTAACGCTCAGGTTATGGAATAAGCTCCCTGTCGATATTTTACAATACAATTTCACTGGGGGAAAGAGATTGTTAGTAATTGAGTTTAACAGCCACATTGCTAGCATTATACCTCCACGTGGTTCGCCCTGGAAACCATCGTGAATAATTCTTGTTGAATTCGTCACGATGGGCTAACTGACCTGTTTCATCCTCACATATCATCTCTCACTGGTGCCCCGCCAGTGTATACCGGTAGCGCAAGCGGAGTAACCATTTCATTGTAACCTATTAAAAAAAAAAAAACAATTTCACGCAGTAGTTTTTGCGTGATGCCAAAACAAACTTTCTGTACGTACGTACTATAGACAGTCAGACTAAATTTCAAAAAATTAATATTTTAACTTTTATCTATATATCTCATATTTTTTTTTCAACATCTCCCACACACAACTTTATTAATAGGATTAATAAAATATTTATTCATAAATATAAATATACGCATACATACAGCATTAGGAGCGTAAGGAGATAAAAAGAAAAACACTATTTTTTTTATTTTTTTATTCAACTATTTTTTCATTGAAAAAGTGCCTTTTCATACTAAGTAGAATATAAAATCGAGGTAACTGAATAAAATATAAATAAATGTAAAATTTCCAACTTTTCCATAGCATAAGAGCGCATTGAAAGGGAAAATTAATAAAGTGTCTCGAATCTACATTTGTGGAAAGCTATTCAATATTCCCAAAGAGTTTTATACAAAAAAAAAAAAATGTAAAAACCTTTATTGAAATTCATTATTAAGCCACTTTGCCAAATATCTTTTTTAGAGACTTTTTATCGATGCATAAATTACTACCAATGAAACCTGCCCTCGAGGAGTCTAAAATTAAAAGTCTACTTGAAACAATCAAGCAGAAGGTGTTAAAAATGTATTACGAGTATTTAACCTTACCGGCCAACCATTTTGAAATTAATTTAAAAATAGAAAATGGCCGCGACTTCGCTTGCTTGTTGATTATAAATTAACCTAAAACAAAATATTATCGTAATTAAAGTAATTACAGTAAAAACTCGCGGACACTTCACGGAGTACATGCTCCGTAAATATACCGTGAATACAGAAACCGTGAATATAGAAAACCGAACCACTTATACAGCGGTAGCATTTGACAACGTACTTTAGGCATAATTGTAATAAAGTCTTACTTTATTACAATTATGCCTAAATATAAGTATAAAGATTTACTTTTTTATTAGTCTATTTGCCATTTATAAAAGATACTGAATCCTTTTCGTTATTATGTTCCAATTAGATCCGCGAATAAATAAATTTTTAATCGCGAATGTAGGAATTCTGTGGCAATTTTTTAATCCGCGAATAGTAAAAAAAAATACGAATAAAGGAAACTTGAATAAATAGCTTTTACTATGTTCTTATAAATCAAAATGTAGTTTATTAGTTTTCTTATTTCTTTTCTATTCATATTTCTTTTTTTTTATATTATTTTTATTAAGGAATTTTGCTACTGCTTTTGCTTTTTAGAGGGCATTAAAATCAACTGAGTTGTAACCATTTTGTGTTAAATCTAATCTAACTTAATGTAATTAAATTGTGGATAAAGGTATCAAGTAAAAATAAAGTTACTAATTGTAGTATCTCTCTACTACGCATCTCTAGACACATTTTAATACAATATTTTTTTCCAGTGTACGAAGAGAAACGCGCTCGGCCGTACAGTTTCGGCCTTGGCAAACGGAACGCCGAGAACGACATTTCCGAGGAGAAACGCGGCCGAATGTACGACTTCGGTCTCGGAAAACGTCTTCCCATGTACAGTTTCGGCCTTGGCAAACGAGCAAGGAGCTACAATTTCGGCCTCGGCAAACGGCTAAGTAGCAAATTCAATTTCGGCCTCGGCAAACGCGAAAGGGACCTGCATCGCTTCAATTTCGGCCTCGGCAAGCGGTCGGCCGACGATACTTCGAACGACGACAGTGTTAATTATTTTGATGTTTAAATAAATATCAATTTTAGTTTAACAATTTTTATGTGAGAATTTACGTGGGATAATCTTTTTTTTTTAATATTCTAATTTAATTGGTAAACTTACGACCCACCCGATGGGGAATAAACATTTTGCGAAACTTACTGTTTTTATTCCCGTATGCAAAGTTCCAAGAACGCTAGATTCTAGAAAATTAAGTCTAAAGTAATTTATTGAAGCTTTATAAAGTCAAATCATAGTCAATTTTAAAGTTAAATAGTTATTTTTATATATTTTGTGAAAATGCCAGCCAATTTTCACAAGATTTAATAAAAATATCTTATAAAACTTACCAATAAATATAAATAAATTATTTTAATTTTTTTAATTTCCACGTAATTTTTCATACAATTAATTATAAATACTATACTTACAAAATCTTGGACTGGACAAATTCATTCAATTATTTTACATAAAATAAGTATTTTTAAGCGCTAATTATTATCAAAACAGATTTAATATTTTTATGAAATATTTCAATTAATATAATAATTGTGGAATATTCGTTTTTAAATAATGTCATAATTATTTAGTTTATCAATGTTACAGTACTGTATACTTTTTTATCATGAGAAGTTTAAAAGCTTTGAACAAACCGATCTTCAGAGTTTGTATTTAACAGTAGTTTATATTAATTTTGTAAAATATTGTTGTTAAACGTTTGTAGTTATTTATGTAAAAGTTAATGAATAATAGATAGTTAACCTTTAAAGATTGTATTGAAAATTATGGGGTTGCGATTACGAACCGAGAGATTATAAGATATTTAAATTTACTTAATATCTTACATATACATTTTATCTATTTATATTCGTATTTTTTCTTAGATTTTTAAGTTTATATATTACTTACAAAATGGTTAACAAAACCAAATGATTTTGTAATCGAAACGAAAAAAAACGAAATTATTATAAAAATAAACAGTGCATACTTCTATATGTTTATTAGAATAATATGATTATTTAATTACTGTGATTTATTACAATTATCCAATTTCTCAATTAAAAATATGCTCTAAACATCTGTCATAAGGTAGAATACTATATGTCGTTGAGATATCGTTGTTATTAAATGAATATCTGACGTCAGTTAATTAATTTTTTAATTATTAATTATAATATTTACAAAACAATATTTTTATTAATTATCCGAAATATTTGTATGCATTATTATTTATTTATATAAAAGTCAAAATAGTTTAAGCTTAATTATATAAATTTTGTAAAAATACAAGCTAATATCGATTTGTGAGCCCCAAAAGAATCAAAACTTGTATGCAACTCATTCTAGTCAAGCCGATCTCGAATTACTCTAAACGAATCGCAACTCTCGTCTAATTAATATATAAAACAATTAAATATAAATTTGTTTAATAATTAAAAAATGTGTTGTTTTGAATATAATCAGTAAGGTCAAATTAAAATATATAAGTCATAGAGAAATTGCATCATTGAATTTTATCATTTGTTTTTATTTTCCCCCAATAACCCGATTAAAAGATGTCCGGAAGAGATTGCTTAGCAATAAGACCGCCTTTTGTACTACTCTACTTATTGAAAATCCTTTAACAAGTTCTGTCATATTGGTATATTTATACCAAGCAAGAAATGTTCTTTAGTTTTAAAGAACATGTCTTGAGTAATATGTAGTAACTGCACCCAATTGGTTGCGTAGAATATTTTTATTTTTATCCCACGATAATGGCGATTAACGTCCTATGCTAAAAGGACGTAAATCTATGTAACGTATGCTACTCTGTTATGTCCATGGTACTGCTCATGTCTATAGGCGATAATAATAATTTTCATCAGGTGGGCCGTCAGCTTGTTTGCCATTCTAAGTTGTAAAAAAAAAAGATTATAAATACCACCCGATCACATCAATCGTCTAGTTCTTAAACTAGGATATTCTAGGGGAAAGGGATTGTTAGAAATGGGGACGAGCAGCTCCATTGCTAGCAATATACCCTAACAGATCGACCTCCACACAATTTCCCTGAAAACCATCTTGGTTAATTTTTTATGAACTCGTCACTATGGGCCAATTGACCTGGTGTCATACTCACCTATTATCTCTCATTGGTGTCCCGCCAGTGTATACCGACAGCGCGGGCGGAGCTACGATGCCATTATCACCCATTAAAAACGTTATGGTATCCTATGTTATGATGAACCAGGTAAAGGGCATCCGGAGATGGCAACGCACGGAGGGTATTATGGGCGAAACAGTATACTCTGTTATGCCCATGGTACTGCTCATGTCTATAGGCGACAGTTACTACTTTCCATCAGATGGGCCGTCAACTTGTTTGCTATTCTAAGTTGTATAAAAAAAAGATGCGTCCCAGAACATCCAGACTCGAGCCAATTCAAAAAATTAATTTCCCAAATTGACTCGACCTATTAAATTTTATGACGTAACTAATAAATTATTTAATTTATATAACCAAACATACTATCGTAGTTCTCATAACCAAACTGACTTTTACAAACGAAGTAGTTTAAAACTAAATTATTGTATTATACATTTTCAAACAATACAATAGTTAAATTCTAAATTGCCTTTCAAATTAACAAAAACTGGGTCATTTCAACTCTTCGTAATTACGGCCAGTAATCGAGTAGTCAAAGTGGACACAATAAATTAATAAAGGTATTCCAAATTCGACCTTGTTAATAGAGTGAGAGAAGGTTCAATTGAGACACGGGACGTGTTGCGAATAAATAAATACCCTTGTCACCTTGTCCCACGCGATTTTGGAATCGTGATATTTTTGATATAATATATTCTTTACGTTCTTCCGCGAAGACGCTGAAGAAGGATGATATTTATTTATTTATTTATTTATTCATTAGTACAAATATGTATACATGGCGGACTTAATGCTAAAAGCATTCTCTCCCAGTCAACCATAGGGAAGTGTCAGAATACTCGAATGCGGTACTACTAATTATTGATATACATACATACTAAAATTACATATATAAACGAGTAAATATATATGAATAACAAATATACTTACACATATATGATATATACTATATTATACACGAATTTGGGAATAATATAAAGCACTTACTGCTCAGGTAAAGATAAAAAGTGAGCGTGAACGCTTTTTTTGAAAGACGGTTTAGTCGGTAGTCTCTTAATGGCATCAGGAAGCGCGTTCCAGAGTCGTGAAGAATGTAGGAGAAAAGAGTTTGAAGCGTAACCAGTACGGTGAGAGGGGAACGATATCTTCAGTTATTACTAAACCGCAAACTCATTGACATGTGTATCTTGCCTATCCTAACTTACGGTGCTCAGACTTAGTCATTGACTGAGTCTAAACTCAAAGTTTGGTCAAGAGCAATGGAGCTAAGTGTTTTAGGGGAAGGATCGTGTATCGTGTTTAAGGGCAAAGCAATAAACTGAGCTGTGACCATTTTGTGTTACTATGGCACACGCATGAAGGAATGGTAACAAAGGAGATTGTTAGATTATATATTTTGTTTTTGTATTTTTTTTTTATTTGTGCTTTTTTTATTTTTATTCTTCTGTCTCTTTTGCTGTGTATTACGTATTAGAAGTATGCTTCGTTTCCAAACTGGCATTAACGACGTAGGTCAGAAGTCAACCAAACTAAAGTGGAATTGAACGAGTCATCATAGGATAAACTGTGGCTTCGTCAATTTTGAGGATTAAATCGTTATGCCTCTACATTCTAGAATTTCACTGCAATAACTCATCCTTCAAACTAAGACATTAAGCCAAAATATAAACACATATATATCGTCGTGTCGGTCCCTGTATAGAATGGACCACCCCTTCCTTTCCTGTGGGTGTCGTAAGAGGCGAGTAATGAAGGGCGAGGAATGAGCAGCATCGTCCCTCTTAGAATACCTATAAAGCTTTTTTTTTATACAACTTAAAATGGCAGACAAGCTGACAGCCCACCTGATGGAAAGTGGTAACCGTCGCCTATAGACATATGTATAGTACCATGGACATAACAGAGTATACTTTTTCGCCCATGATACCTCCCATGCGTTGCCATTCCTGAGGACTCAGGTATTATTCCTATGTACCCAGTAAATTCACGCCATGCCCCACCCTTCAAACCGAAACACAGCCATGCAAACACAACTGCTTCACGGTTGAAACACGAATGGGACAGAGGTACCCAAGCAATCGACTTTTGTGCAAAGTCTCCCTCTGTCTGCGGTTGCCAATCCGCCTGTCGAGCGTGACAACTACTGGGAAAACTCCCCTTCTAGGGAAGGCTTATGTTCAGTTGCGGACAGTTAAAGGCTGATATGTTGCCACGCTTAGCAGGCGGTTTAACAATCGCATTACTTAAAAGAGGAACGCTGCTGCCTATCCTTCGACTAAGTTTATTTTATACCACAAAGTTTGCTAAGCCGCCCCTCACGATTCGCACGGGAAAGGAATGGGTGGCCCATTCTATGCCGAGACCATATGACACGGCTGGGAAACCTAATAAAGATGTCATGAAAATATTTTCATTTATATATCAAAGAATTTCAACATCACTATATGATTATCAGATCAGCCATTATCCGTCTACTGCTGGACATAGATAGACTAGATAGATAGAGAGATAGGACCCCCCCCCCCCATAGACTACTATAAGGTTGGTATATATTTTCACTAAAATATTGTAGAGAGTAAATAATTGCCGTCATTTTCATTAATAGCAACTTTATCTGAACAGCGAATGACGGTCCATTCCTTTAATTGCTGAGAAAATGCTAAATATATTAAAATTTTATGGTCATATTACGTAACGTAAAGCACCGTAATATGTACTCTATCTATAATATTCAGGGGTCACTTAGAAAATTCGTAATTATGTTTAAATTTAGTTTTATGTACGCTAGGCATATCCAATGTATTTTTTTATTTTTACCATTCTTTACCACTTTACAATATATATATATATATATATATATATATATATATATATATATATATATCTTATTATCTGTCTTTGTTTATTGAATGAGTTGTGAATTGATTTAAAAATATGAGAAGGAACTTATTCCTGATATAGAGTTAACACTACTTCAGGAATCAGGACTAGGTACATAAAATTGAAAACTGAATTATGCAATAAACTGTTGTTATTATAAGATACGAGTATAAAGAAAAAAAACAAACGAATGTTTTCAAATCGTCTGTATATTTATTATTATATAGGTAGATAGATAGATAGATACTCTTTAAGTATAAGTATTTAAGTGTTCACGTACTTATTATAGATTATTCATTATAGAAAATAGGTAACTGCATGAGGAGAATCTAGCCGTATACAACATGTGTGTATAAGTACACACATGTTGTATGAACGACGACAGAGAGAAGAGAAGTATGTCGTATGTGTATATATATGTTATATATAATAATGAGTAGGGATAATATTTATATTATTATATGTATCACATCTCCCATATTTAGAACTAACAAAATTTTTCATCGTGCCTCCCACCGAATTGTTTATAATTACTCCTCTCCATCCAAAGGTTGCCTGGAAGAGATCGCTCTTAGCGATAAGGTCGCCAATTGTTTTCTCATTGTGATTATTTCTTGTAATTGTTTATATTTATAATAAGTTTACTATTATAATCTTTTGGAGGAAACAATAAAGAGTCTATCTATCTATCTATGTCATAGACCAACAAGGCAATACACACTTATACATCGGACAGGACCGACATGGCATAATGTTGTCTTACAATTCGGAAATCACTTAAAAAGATACAAAAAAACAAGTATTGTGATAAAATCGAAATCTACTTAAGACTAGATTTTTTGTATGTGCGTCAAAAAAAGGAAAAATCTCATTTGCACACCAAAGCGACGACTCCATAAAGATAATCCGGTATTAAAGGCGTCGAGGTGGAGTCATAAATAAATAGCAACAGTCTCCGATTGTTTACTTCATATCCAAAAATACAAATACCCTTAAACATTAAGATTAGAAACTTGTTTACGCTAATAATGCATCGTTGTGCAAATAAGTTTATATTTATTTCTTTTTTTTATGCAATCCTCACTATTATTATGAATGTGATAGTGGGTTTGTTTGTTGCCTGTTAGCGCCTTAACGGCTTAACCGAATTCTATGAAATTTGGTATACAGGTACTAAATAGGAAGGGGAAAATATTATATTCTGTAATTTTATTGTTTCACAGCAAAAATACAGGTGGAACAGCGGTTGTCAGACGCGTTACAATAATACCCCCATGTTCATAAATACGTCGATTTTATCATAAATCTATTCAGTTTGAAAAAGTAACAAAATACCATAATAGTTATAAAATGTTTATGGGTGATTTTAGTTTATATGAATAATGGTTTATAACATCGGTAGATGGCACCACTCGCTATGTTATGCGTTACACTGACGTTCGAAAAAATAGGGGTTGAAAATTTAATTATTAATTTGACTG